TCGCTGATTGCGGAGGAAGTGTGCCATTGAGCGGAATAGATGTAGTCACTCGGAGCAGTATCGGTCCTGAATGGTGGATGTGGAAGAATCTCAACACCGTCCATCTGTTTAAACTTCTCCTTACTCAACCTGGCAGTGTGTGGTTTCGCATTGTCTTGCAGAATACTCCTTCTTTAGTTTTCTCGTACACGCGGCCTAATTGTTGGCAGTAGAGTTTAGCGTTGATGGCGCTAACGTGTGGGACAAGTTCGAAATGCAGTATTCCTTGGAAATTTCACCAGACAGAGATCAGTATTTGTTTTTTGCTTTCCGCTTCCTAAATGAGTCAGGATTTTCTGGCGGACCTAGTACAACATTAAGTCAGTCATGTACTATGCGTGATACACGCTTAAGCGATCATGTATCATTCGGGGTAGATTTTTTTTCCCAGAGTAGGTCTCCATTTCTTTTTGCGGTAGACCAGTTGCCGTCTAAGGCTATAGAACCTGGTCTCTCCTGATATTGGCCCATAGTTGGGTTGGGGGAGAAAATAATTCAAACCTTTCCCAATGGTATTAGCACGTAAGTGTAATGAATTCCGCTGGAATTCGAACTAGGCTCTACGATTCCTCAATCAGCAGCTATCCATTACTCCACCTTGCATCCCGTACAACATTACTAAAATGTAAGACGGGCATGTGGCCTAGTGGTTAGGATGATGGACAAGGTTTTGAATCGTACTTTTGTTGACTTGTCAGAAAGGATACTTTCTGATGTTATTGGCCATCAACTGCACATTTGAAAAGTGTCTGAATCCATACCACTGGTTGACCCAAGCATTGTGAGCGAAAATATTCAGAAGCCGCCAGTAGTTCAGCTACCAAGAAATCACAAGTTATTTGAAGATTTGAGCTTACTAGTTTTGTTCAGGCTGTTAGCAAGACCGAAAATGGGCTCCGTCCCAGAAACTGTAACTAAAGTCTGCTCAGTAAGGTGGGTTTTCTAGATGTTAAACAAACATAAATGTGCCTGAGTCGGCGTCTTAAAAAGGATTGTGTAGGCGCCCTAGCAGACACACATACTCGGATACGAACGGCCAACCATGACATGTATTTGCTTGCGTTTATCTGCTTTCTGTGAGCGTGTACTTTCCAAAGGGAAGGATAATATCCATGTACTTGGAATGAAAATGAATATGAATAATCTAATTTAGAGTCGTTAATCTTGGATTGTGTGTAACTTCGTGAGATAGGTGCAGGTGTGACTGTCAACATAAACAAGCAAGCGAAACCCTGAATCAAAATGGCGGAATCTGTGTATTTACACAGAAAATGTTCGAGAAGACAGTAACAACGAAAATACGCATGCGCAAAAAGCGATAACAGCCAAAAGTTCTATCTTCGTCATCAGGTTTTAGGTGCATGTTAATGCCCATGATTCGAGTTTCTTGAAAAGTCGAAAGCGAAACTAACGTTCGGTCCGGTAACCTTGCAGATTTGATTAGTTTTTATTGCAGGATCTCATGTCGTCTTTTTCCTGAAAATCATTTGAGCCAGGCGTCATAATCATTACAGGATCGAGAGCAGAAGAGCAAGAATTAGTTGCAGACGCTTGTGGAAATAATACAAGTTACGGAGTCAATGACCGAGGAATTTCAAGAGATTACTGTACAAAATACAATTGCTAGTACAACTAAAAGATTACGTTCAATTTTCCTCACTCGTTACGGTGCTTACTTAGTAAGACACGCTTATGATCTATACAGACCTATACAAAAGATGATGCTTGGATTGATACTTTGATATAATTTGTACATTCCCGACTTAATCAGTTCCTGCTTCGTTGTCTGTGCTGAAGACACGGGTATTTACTTGTGTCGTAATGGTAAACCTGACCGCCACGTTATAGTCAATTTGGCAACTGCTCTCGAAAATTATCTTCAGTGCATTAGCTTTAAAATCATAATGTCTCCAAAACATCTCCATTTTAATCATATCCGAACTATTTTATTATCGCCTTCCATCAGCATTTCTGACGATAACGTTCTAGGGGCGTGACTTATTGCAGCTCACAGGTGTAACGCTTTCCGCGACGTGAATAATTATATTATGTTTGTGTGCGATCGGAGAAGTTAAGCAACGTCAAGCGTGTTCAGTACCTAGAATGGTGATCATTTGGGAATAACAGGTGATGTAAGCTTAAATGTGTTGATGTTGTAATTCAAAATGGCTCTGAATTATTAATCGGAGAAGCGAGTTCCAATTCCTGTTGGGTGAGTTGTATTCACTTACGCCAAAATACCTTTGGGAAATTTATGAATCCACCTCTTCTCCCCCACCAGCTACGTAAGCAGTTAATCATTATTATCTAAAAAGAAAAAAGAAGCTTACAATCAAAAAATATTTACTGGCTTTAAATAACCTGCAAAAAGTTGCTTAGCCATTAAACGGAATCAATGAATCAATAAATGTACTTAGAATAAGAGACGGTTATAATTTCTGAGACACATAATGAGGAAAAAGGGCTTGGCGAATTTGACATTCACAAGAAATACTGAAGGCAAAAAGAACTGAGAAAAACAGTTATAAGTTTATCTAACGAGCTTGAGGAAATTGATCGAAAAATAGAGACTGGTTGGGAGATTAGAGTGAAAATTTGCTTCGAGTAACAAAAGGAAATGAAATTTGGAGGCCAATTTTCACCCACATCTTCAAGGGAAACAACGAAATCAGAGGAGGAAGAAACAGGAAGAAGAGGATGTAGAATAGGAGGAGGAGAAAAAGGCGAAGGTGGGGAGAAAAGGGAAGAGAAGAACAAGAAGAAGAAAACAATAACCAGGAAGAGGAGATGTAGGAGGAGAATAAGGACAAGAAGACGACGAAGCAAGAGGAGGAGGAGGTGAATGAAGAGGAGAAGAAAAATAAGAATGAGAAGAAGAAGAAGAAGAAGAAGAAGAAGAAGAAGAAGAAGAAGAAGAAGAAGAAAGAAAAAAAGAAGAAAGAGAAGAGAAAAGAATACGGTGAAAGCAAAAGCCTGGGAATCATCTGGAGACTGAGAAGAGGAGGGAAGGGGAGGAGAAGGGGGAGGAGAAGAAGAAGAGGAAGAAGAACGACAACAACAACGTGGAAGAGTAGATGTAGGAGAACAAAAAGAAGACAACGAAAGAAGAAGAAGAAGAAGAAGAAGAAGAAGAAGAAGAAGAAGAAGAAGAAGAAGAAGAAGAAACACAACAACAAGAACAAGTATGCGGTTGAGGTGGAAGAGAAGAAGAAGGATAAGGGGGATGAGGACGAGAAAGTGGAGGAAACATGAAGTAAGAGGAGAAAAGTAAAAAGAATGAGAAGAAGGAAAAGAAGAAAAAGCAGAAGAGTTATGAAGAAGTTCTTTTTCTTATCCCAATGTACTAATGATGAGCGCGGGGTATATCCCGATGACATTGGTATTCATAATTGGAATAAGAATGATCTAGAATCAAAAACTCGACATCCTCTACAAAGGGTTCCAAGAAATAAGACTTTATATAAACAATTTCTAAACAGAAACTATAATCTAGAATTGGAACGAAATCAACGATGGCACCTCTCCAAAATCCATCATAAAAATCAGAAAGTGGAATTAGTAAATACCAAACACTTCAAAAACCTCAGTGTTTGGCTCAGTTCTGAAAAATGTAACAGTGGACAAGGAAATTGAATATATATTAAAGCTGCCAAAATAATTTTGGGAAATTTATGAATCCACCTTTCGCTTAACACAACAAATTTCTACAAACCAAACGATTGACCATTTATAAAATATACGATTGAACAAGAAGCGTGTTTAGCATCGATTCAAAAACAGCTCGTAGAAGATCATTTTTAGAGAAGGAAAAAATGTTGTTTTCTTTCACCTGCAAATAAGTAAACTAGCAGAAGTATACAGCCGTTTACTCAGATGAATGATTAGAAATGGATGAATACCGTAGGACTTAGAAGGAACTTTCCGTCGTTGAATCTCAGGCAAAAACGCTATAGAAGCTTAACCATAGAGCTTTGCCAAATAAAAGGAACAACACGTGAATGGAAGACTTCCAACAGTCGCAACAACTAAAATAGGATAGTAAATGTAACCAAATGGTAAAATGATGCCATAGGGAAGACGTTGACTAACCTTAAAGAAAAGGTCTGAAAGGAAGCTTCGATTAATAGTAGAAAGACCGATAATAGTGGATCTGTGTCGAGCTTTCTCCTGAAAAAAATGTTTGTAAGGGAGATAATTCATAGATATTAGGATGACTGTAACTATAACTCTTCCGTCAATGTATGCTGAATATTTATTAATAAGGAAACGGATATATATATATATATATATATATATATATATATATATATATATATATATATATATATATATATATATATATATATATGACAGGAGGTATTATGATTATTTATATTATTTGCATTATTCGGACTGTTACCCTCATCTTCATTTGCCATATTCACAACGTTTCGGCTCTTGTACGCTCCAGCCTTCTTCAGGTGATTGGAATTTCGAACCGAACACTTTACTTCTCAAGGTAGCATGGCCCAGTGGATAAAGACGTTAGTTAGATTCAGTGACCAGACACAAAGACCTGTGAGTTTAATACCAGGCTGCAGCAGTGTCAAACCAAAATACTTGGAGAGTTGAGCTTAAGGGAAATAACTGAGATATCCGTAAGAGGCATGGCGCGTGGAACTAGAAAAATATACCACGGCGGATGGAATAAAGGGTTCGGTTCGAAATTCTTATCACCTGAAGAAGGCCAGAGCGTACAACGGTCGAAACTTTGAGAATCTGGCGATAAAGATGAGGATAACAGTCCGAATAATTTAAATAAGGAATCGGCTATCTCGCCATTGTCAGCGTTATACTAGATGTAAGATCTAACGTGAGGGTATCGTCATGATAGAAAGCGACATCTTTGAAGGCGATTCAATTTTCAACCCATTTTTTGCACAGCAAGTTACGGGGTAAAACATGAATCAGTTTCTTTCTTAAGCGTTCAAGTCAAGCTGAAAACACCTGTTCTCGTTCGATCACCAAAGTTAAGCAACGTCAAGTTGGGGGAATTCTTTGATGGTGGACCACTTGTGAACCCCGTATGCAGTAAGCAACCTCCTACAACCTAAATTATTTTCCTTTAAATAAATAACAAAGTGGTGGTGAACCGTAAAATACAATTCTATCAAATCAGTCCTAAGCTATGGATCAAATAGAAACGTAGATTGCAGTAATTAGACATACGCCCTTGTGCAAATTAATTGAAACAAAACGAATAATTCCGTTATTATTTACTTTTTTTTGTATTTTCCCCTATGAAAGATAACCCATTGCGGATGTTAGTACTTCGTATGTCCAGTTCACTAAGTCTTTCTTTGCAGATTGGTCACACATTCTCGATTGGATTTAAATCCTGAGAGTTTCCGGGCCAGTCTATAGTACTTTGATTTGGAAAGGCTTGCCAGTGAGTTCGTGCTGCGTTAAAATTTTCGTACTGTAACGCTTATCGCAGACAATGACCGTAGGACAACTAATCGACAGTCGAGATAGTAGTGTCTGGGCGTGATAAAAATCTGATGCAATCACGAAGACGCAATGTTTTTCGAGACCAAGCATATGTCATTATAAAGCCCGAAAAGAGATTCATATTACAGCACACCACTGCCAATGACATATTATGAGGAAAAAATAGAAATCGATTACACCCTGTCACTCCAGTGGTCTAAAACTCACCGTATGGTGAAAGAAAGAAAACTAATGCGGTTGTTACAATTAATTTGCACAAGCGTGTCGATGACAACCCGGCTAGAATAACAACTGTCGAAACTTTGAAAAGCAATGTGTAATATTCCATTTATTTTTTTCCAAGAAATTATGGTAATTCACTGATAAAAACGAAAATTGAATATGATAAAGTTTTGGCAGGATGTGAAATTAAAAATCAATGGATAGCTGCCTGTAGAATTGAACGATGTATCGGCTACCCACACTCTTACCAGGAAACGGACATTTCATTTGCTGAGATTTCCTAGCATTGGCCACGTCGGAGATGAACAACAATATTGATGCTATACACATGTCTTTAAAGGCTGGCATGACAATGCGGATATGATACTAGAGCTGTGAAATTTTGGATGCATTGATTTCCACTTGTTTTTAGTGAAAACTGCATTGTTTCTCTTCAGTTAAACTGATATTTGACCGTTGAAAGAAAAGTGTTCATCCTGTTGGTCAAAAAAAGTCATCATCAGCAGATGTGACGTCATCACCACTGTGATAGTTGTTCCCAACTGTGTGTTCGTTTAAGTTAGGGAACAGATGATAATGAAATCTGGTAAATAAGGAGAACGAACAACCAGTTAAAAGCTATAGCCACACACAGAAATCAAGGATTTGTCTGCTTGAGCATTGTCATCATGAAACAATGCCACTTTCTTCAGTTTTCCTGGGTGTTTGGTCTTCACAGCCTTTCGTAATTGTCTCAGTAAGTTGCCATAGTACTCGCCATTGATGGCATGGCCCTTTTCAATATAGTCAATAAACACAAAGCAGAAGAAACAACATTGCTCTTCTTTTTAGTCAGTGAAGAAGTGCGATTCCCCTGCATAGCTTGTCATTTTGTCCCTGGGTCAAAGTGAAGAAGCCAACGCCGATCGGGGAAACCAGCAGAGCCTGCCTTAATCAATGTCAAATTTTCCGGCAATGTGCACAGTTTGGTGTGCATTTGATCAGACTAAATTCTTTTTCTGCTGGTACTTGATAACACCTCGATGCCAAACGTTGTCTTTTTTTATGAGAGATCACTACTAGTTTCTTTTAAAATCTCTTTTGAACAATCAGGTGTCAGTTTACCTGGGGATAAATGATGCACTTATTAATAAGAAGAGAGAGAATTAATATATGCAAGATTTTACAGCTTCACAATTACTCCTTCATAGAGAGACGATAACATTTTCAAACCAAGTTTATATATATATATATATATATATATATATATATATATATATATATATATATGAACAATAAGAAAATAAAAAATTAAAAAATTAATAGATTAAAATTAAAATCATTAGACACACTGGGTTGTAGATTAATATTCTTTCGTTTTTTTATTATTATTATTCCATTTAGATTCCTCGACTAGTTTCGACCGAAATGGCCATCATCGGGAGGAGAAATTAAATATTTCTGCTTGCTGTTAGCAGTGAACTACAAAAATGAATGTCTTTTGTTGGAGAAAATGAACTTTTGTCTGTAGTTTTCATTTGTTTTTTTATTTTTTTATCTTTTTAACATGAATCTTTTAACATTCCTTGTGTTGGTCAAACAGTCTCTTTTAAGTTGTTATTTGAGATAAGAACTGGATAGATACATTTTATCCTGAATTCTCTGGTCAGTTTGACAGTTTTATTGGACCTGGTGAGGGGATGTGTCTCTGTTTAGTGTTTGTGTGTGTGTTATTTGATTCTTAGGGAGTGAGTGAGTATGATATGTGTAAGCGTGTGTATTGCTGTAGGTGTGTGTTATCATTTGGCTCATTAGGGAGTGAGTGGGCATGGTGTGTGTATGTGTGCATAATCGTGTGGGTGAGTGTATAAGTGTGAGGCCTCCATTCCTCCGTAAGCATGTCTGTCTTGTGTGGGTGAGAAATGTGGGTAGGTTTTGATTTGATTGTTACCATTATATGTTGTTAAATTTATGATTTAGCCCGGCTGGGTATTGTGTCTTTAGACGTTGTATCCACTTATTTTCATGGGACTCTAAAATCTTTCTAATGTTATCTGCTCTGAACTTTTCTATTCTCTCAATTATAGTGAATCTGGCATGGGTTTTGAAATCGTGTTTTTCTAGGCGGAAATGTTGTTCTACAGGTAATAATTGTTCATAGGGAGTCGATTTAATTCGCTTACGATAATTATTAATTCTGTAGTTAAAGGGCCATTCAGATTTTCCTACATATTGTTTCTGGCATAGTGTGCATTCTAGGAGGTAAATTATGTTTTGACTTCTACAGTTAGAATCGTGGTAGATTTTGAAAGTAGATTTAGTGATTGAGCTAGTGAATGAATTCGTGTTTTTAATATGGTTGCAACATAAACTTCTTTTGTTGTTACATGGTTGGGAAAATCCTGTTGTTTTTGTTCTCAGTTCCTTACGGATTACCTTGTCCCCTGAAATGTAGTTACTACCTATGATTTCTTTTAGGTTCTTAGGTCTACGATATGCAAGAAGGCCGGGTTCCTTAAGCAGTTTTTTTAGGTCTGGTTTGAGATGTAGTATTTCCCAGCGACGTTTGATTATTTGGGATAGTGGAGGCAGAGTGGGATTGAAAGTGGTTACTAGAGGGATGCGGCTAGATTTATTTTTAATCTTGTATATTAGGGTGTCTTCTCTAGGTGTGGAAATTGCTTTATTTATTTGTTCCTGATTAGGTGTTGTTTATAGCCACGTGTTGCGAATTGATGCTCCAGATTTTCAATGTGTTTATTTAATTCTTCATTGTTGGAACATATCCTTCTGAGTCTAAGTGCTTGTGAATAGGGAAGGTTCTCTTTGAGGTGTTTAGGTGGAAGACTTAAAGTGTAGATAGTTGTGGGTGTCGGTGATTTTAGTGTGTAGTGTCGTTTGTAGTTTCCTGTTTTCATCTATGTAAATGCGGGTGTCTAAAAATGTTACTGATGTTGTGGATTTTTCATAGATAAACTTAATTGAGTCGTGCACTGTGTTTAGGGTCATAAAAGAATTGGGTAAGTTATATATATATATATATATATATATATATATATATATATATATATATATATATATATAATTTTTTTTTAATTTATAACATAAATATATTATAAAATCACTACAAAAATAGCCATTTTGTTTAAAAACCCCCGGTGTCTTATCAAGTGATGAAGTTAATAAATGGTTTTAAAAGTTTCAAATTAATTAACGATCCTTCGCAAGGGTAAAACGCTGTTACGAAAGCTAGAATGACCAATCAAAATATAGGTATAGGAAAATTCAGAAAGCTTGACAACAAAGTCATGTTGTAATAGCTATTTAAATCTTTAAAATACGGGTAATATTAAAAATGAATTTATTCTAACCAATAATTATTAAATTATATGATAAAATTTGATATTAAAATTAAAACTGCCAATTTTAAAATCCAAACGGAATCACTACTAAGTTTAATAATGATAAAATTACTGAGGAAAAAAAGAATATATATATATATATATATATATATATATATATATATATATATATATATATATATATATATATATAATATATAAATTAATTGATTTAAAATATTTTTTTTTAAGTTCTAACCATGTTTCAAATATGGAAGCTAAATTAAATTCGGGGCTTTTAGCTTCCATTTTTGAAACATGGTTAGAACTGTGTAGCGAAAAAACATATTTTAAATCAATTAATTTATAATATTGATGCTCTGTAAATTTACATCGAGCACTATTTTGTAAAAATAAAAATATCTATAAGAACAACGGATTATATATCTTACTGTTCTTTCTTTATATATATATATATATATATATATATATATATACAAAATTATCTCATATGGGGGGTATAGATTTAATTGAAATAGATCTATACTCGTCTGCCTCCATATGATGTAATTTTGGATTGTGTTGTGTAATTTATAAGCTCTGTTATAATAAATACATTAAGCACTTTTTGTAGATTAGTTTAATATTTGATATGACTAGGATCCACTTGAATTATATACCACGTTGAAATAGATCTATACCCCCATATGAGGTAATTTGGGATTTTGTTGTGTTTTATATATTCCCGTCAGAAGAGCACATATTTTCTACGTAATTTCTCGAACATTCAGGACGTTAAATTTAATTATTAATGTTTAATTAAAAACAGAGAATTGACTTAAATAAATTATATCTATAAAAATAGCGTATAAACAGAAAATATATTAAATAATTAATACATACATACATACATATATATATATATATATATATATATATATATATGACGAAATATAGTTTTAAGTTGTGTTACATTTATTGAATAAAGTTTTCAATGTCACAGATAGAGCGTACGTAAATATAAATATAAAAGTGAACA